CTTGGATACATAGGACTTGAGCTGGTTTCATCTGATAACCGGACAAACTGGTGCTCTTGTACTCTGGGCTTTAAGAAATGTTTCTTTTCCGCAGGTTTAACACCTTTCATCTGGAGGCATCTTCTTCCTGTCAGTTTGACTCTGTGGCCGTTTATGACGGACCGGACACTCTGTCACCCTTGCTGGGGAAATTCTGTGGCACAGTGCTCCCACCCAATCTCCGTTCCTCCACAAATCAGCTATTCATTGTCTTCAGAACAGATAACTCAGTGAGTGGGATTGGTTGGAGAGCTACTTACAGTCAAACGCTCGGTAGGTGGTAATGACTGTGTTTGTTTTTTTTATTTTAAGAACAAGTGAACGCCACTTATTCATAAAACTATGCACTTGCACCACACAACTGGTGATCTCCTGGGACATTCAGTCTCTAGAGCTTATTCAGAAAAAAAAATGTTCAGCTGAGTGTGTGGATAGAAAGACTCATTTAAAAAGTGAAGTAAAGGAAAAATGGCTGGAGCTGATAGGAACCCCAACTTTGGGGTACAAGACTGCACTTCAAGATGGTAAAAGGACTGGTACTTACTATATAGTACCCTTGTACTCAGGTTGAGCAATCAAAGTGCTTCCTGCTACAAGTCTCATTCACTCAGTCACACACAGATTCATACAACACTGTATGCTAAGCTTTCCCTAACATTCACATACATATTCACGATGGATGCATCAGGGCCACGTGAGGGTTCAGTCTCTTGCCCAACAGAAGACATTAACCCTAGTCTGGAGAAGCTAGGGATTCATCTACCAAGCATCTGATTGTGGCGTCGCCCACTACATTAGGTCACATCTGTCAAATAAAAACAAATCTGAGGCTGCAGTGGATTTTCCACAGCTGAAGGCAGGGAAAAGGGAAGCCTAGTCTCAGTTTTTCTAAGGCTTTATTTAGATCATGGAGCCAAATTATGACATCAGTTGTATCCATCCATGGACCAAACCCACCTTGGGTCAAAGAATGGTGACAGTAGGAAAGAGGATTCTCTCACTAAGAGACAGACTTTCACCCACCACACAACATACCCAGAAATCCACAGATCATCAGCTCAGCTGTTCACCCTGCTTGAAATGTGAGGTAACACCTAAATATAAGTCCAGGCTAGTTTCCAAAGATCCCCTTGAAGTAAGTGATCACTGAGTAAATTTGAATGAAAATTGGCTGATAATGACTCTTCAAGTCAAGTCAAGTCAAGTTTATTTATAAAGCACATTTAAAAACAACCAAGGCTGACCAAAGTGCTGTACAATAAAATACAAATATAAAATACTATTACTAAGAACCTTAAAAACCAGCAGTAAAATTTTAAAATCAATCCTAAAAGCAACTGGGAGCCAGTGGAGAGAGCAGAGGACCGGAGTGATGTGGTCTCTCTTTTTGGAACCGGTCAGCATGCAAGCAGCAGCATTCTGCACCAGTTGGAGGCGATGCAGACAGGAACGATCTAAACCGTTTCAAACCGTTTCATTCTCAAACACTGATGATTTCTGTAAACAACCTTCTCTTAAAGACTGAATATTTGACTTCGGTGCAACTGAATGAAAAGGGACAGTGAATGTTTAGATTTTATGTACTTGTAAACTTGAGCAGTTTCTTGATTTGCATTGTGTGTTGTTGGTGTTTTTTGTGCTTTCTGGGCATGTGTCCACTCTTTGTAGGAATTGATTTAAGGTACAATTACTGTATGCATTTTGCTGGTGATAACTAAAACAATAACATTAGTCTGTCTTGAATTCTGACTGGGTACCCAGCAGCAACTGTTACAAGTACTATCTAGTCAGTATTATCTATTTTTACATTGCTAGTTTGAACTTTCCAGAAATTGGACAAGTTCTATTGTTGCTGTTTTATCCAGAATAAACAAGTGGACATGCTTAAATTACTTGCAGGTCCAGCACAGGGATGTGGCGGATACCTTTCCATGCCCATGGGCATGTTTGGTTCACCAGATCCAAATCTAGATGGTGTCTATGAACCACGGATGAACTGCCTGTGGACCATTGAGATGCCTGTCAACAAGGCAGTCAATCTGACCTTTGACTCCTTTGAACTTGAGACTTCCACTACCTGCCGCTATGACTATGTCAGAGTAAGTATACTGAGGGCAGATATTT